TTCTTCTTCTTCTTCTTCTTCTTCTTCTTCTTCTTCTTCTTCTTCTTCTCTCTCTCTCTCTCTCTCTCTCTCTCTCTCCCCCTCTCCCTCTCCCTCTCTCTTTTCTCTCTTTTCTCTCTTTCTCAATAAACACTTAAAAAATAAAATATTATTTCTCTCTGACATTATATCTGGTCACTCAGGAGCTTTGATGGAGATACACAACAAAATTAACGTTTTTATGCCTGCTAACACAACATCCATTCTGTAGCCGGTGGATCAAAAAGTAATTTCTACTTTCAAGTCTTACTGTTTAAGAAATACATTTCATATGGCTACAGCTGCTGTAGATAGTGATTCCTGCGATGGATCTGGGTAAATTAAATTGAAAACCTCTGGAAAGGATTCACCGTTTGAGATACCATTAAGAACATTTATGATTTGTGGAAAAAGGTCAGACTATCAACATTGACAGGAGTTTGGAAGAGTTGATTCCAATCTACATGGACAACATTGGGGGATTCAGGACTTGAGTGGAGGAAGGAGGTACCTAAGTAGCTACGGATGTGGTAGAAACAGCGGGAGAACTGGAATTAGAAGTGGAGCCTGAAGAGGGGACTGAATGGCCGCAATCTCACAGTCAAATTGAATGGAGGAGGAGTTGCTTCTTATGGAGGAGCAAAGAAAGTGGTTTCTTGAGATGGAATCTACTCTTGGTGAAGATTCTGGGAAGATTGATCACAAAGAATGTAGAATATTACATAAACTTAGCTGAGAAAAGCATAGGCATCGCTTGAGAAAATGGACTTCAATTTTTGAAAGAAGTTCTGCTGTGAGTAAAATACCATGAAGCAGCATTGCATGCTACATGGGAATCGCCCATGAAAGGGAGAGTCAGTCAGTGCAGCCAACTTCATCGCTGTCTTATTTTAAGAAATGGCAGGGGCGCCTGGGTGGCTTGGTCGGTTGGGCGTCCGACTTCGGCTCAGGTCACGATCTCACGGTCCGTGAGTTCGAGCCCCGCGTCGGGCTCTGTGCTGACAGCTCAGAGCCTGGAGCCTGCTTTGGATTCTGTGTCTCCCTCTCTCTCTGCCCCTCCCCTGTTCATGCTCTGTCTCTCTCTGTCTCAAAAATAAATAAATGTTAAAAAAAAAAATTAAAAAGAAATGGCCACAGCCACCCTAGTCCTCAATAGCCACCGCCCTGTTCAGTCAGCAGCCACCAGTGATCAGGCAGAACCCTCTACCAGCAAAGAGATTACCATTTGCTGAAGACTCGGGTGATTAGCATGTTTTAGCATTAAAGTATTTTTTAATTAAGGTATGTACTTTGTTTTTTTAAGACATAATGGTATTGTGCATTTAATAGGCTGCAGTATAGCGTAAGCATAACTTTTATATGTGCTGGGAAACCAAGTTCCTTGGACTCATTTTAATGCATTACTCGCTTTATCTCAGTGATCTAGAACCAAACCCACGGTATGTTGTGGTATGCCTGTCCAAATCCTTTATCAGATATGTGTTACACAAAGATTTTCTGTTTATGGCTTATCTTTTCATTTTCTAAACAGTGTCTTTTACAGAACGGAAGTTTTTAATTTTAGTGACGTTCTACTTACGAACTTTGTGTTTTGTGGATTGTGCTTTTGGTGTTATAGACAAAAAGGCATTGCCAAACCCAAGATCACCTAGATTTTCTTCTATGTTACCTTCTAGGAGTTTTATAGCTTGCATTTTACATTTAGATAATATGGTCCTTTTTTTTTTTTTTTTAATGTTTGTTTAGTTTGAGAGAGAGAGGCAGAGGGAGAGATGGAGAATCCCAGGCAGACACCACGCTCAGAGCAGAGCCCGACGTGGGGCTTGATCTCACAACCGTGAGATGATGACCTAAGGCAAAATCAAGAGTCAGATGCTTAACTGACTGAGCCACAGGCGCCCCTGTGGTCCCTTTTAAGTTAATTTTTGTGAAAAGTGTAAGGTCTGTCCGGATTCTGGTTTGTTGGTTTTTTTTTTGCTGTTGTTTTTTTTGTTTTGTTTTGTTTTGCTTTTTTTTTTTTTGCATGTGGATATGTGGATGTCCAGTTATTCCATCGCCGTCTGCTAAAAAGACTGTCCTTTCTCCATTGCATTGCCTTTGCTCCTTTGTCAAAGATCAGATGACTATGAGGGCTTATTTCTGGGCTCTCTGTTTGCTCTCTGTTTTGTTCTATTATTCTATTTGTTCTTTCATCAGTACCACACTATAGTGATTGTTGTATCATTTTAGCAAGTCTTAAAGTAGGGTAGTGTCAATCTGACAACTTTGTTCTTCAACATTATATTGGCTATTCTGGGTCTCTTGCTTCTCCGTGTACATTGTAGAATCATTTTGTTGATATCCACAAAATAACTTATGGGATTTTTGTTGGGATTACATGAACTCTAGATCCAGTTGGGAAGAACTGACATCTTGACAATATTAACCTTCCTATCTGTGAACCTGAAGTTTCTCTCCATTTATTTAGAGTCTTTGATTTTCTTCATTCGTCATATAGTTTTTCTCATATAGAGCTCATACATGTTTTGTTAGATTTATACTTGAGTATTTCATTTTGGGGGGAGTACTAATGTAAATGGAATATAATTTCAAATTCTAGTTGTTCATCACTAGTTTATAAGAAAGCAGTCAACTTTTGTATATTAACCTTGTATCCTTCAGCAATGCTATCACAGTTGTATTTTAGTTCCATTTATTTTTACATGGATGGAACTTTTCTTTTGATCTCTACAGAGCACTCTGCATGGTTCTCCGTGTTAAGTTTTATCCTGTGTTATTTAATGCCTAACAAAGCCCAAACTTACTAAATCATTTCTTACCCGCTTTATTTCTCTTTGTAGTTATATATAAAACCAGATTTTTCTTAAACATTCCTTTCAGCCTTTATTTTCCTTTGAAGGTTAACTGGTAGAGTCTTAAAGTAACTTATACATTGTTTCAGAGGGAAAAGTCAAAAGAGAAAGGATTTACCGATGCAACAGAATCCTTGATAAACCAACTCAATAAGAGATATAAACCCAAGGATGACATAAAGTCTACAAGAAAATTCAAAGAGTCTTTGATTGATGGGTATGTACTTAAATTTTAGACATAAATATTTTTTTGACAGATCCAACTAAATTATTTCACAGTTATAAGAAAATTAGTTTTGAACATGTTCAAATAGTATAACTTTCTAGTAGAAAACACCTAGTTACTTTTGTAAATAGTAGCTGTTTTAATTATACAGGAAGGGAACTAAATTTGAAATTAGTCATTGTAGTATGTGATTATATTTTATAATCAAAATATCATATTGATAGAGCATACCTTTTCATAGGTCTTTAGGCTATAGACATTTTCAGATTTTATATATTGAGCCTAGTAATGAGTAAGACTAAATACGTGTACGTATGTTGCTTGCGCAGAATAGGAAATCGAAATGAGCTGAGCTGAGTCGCTTTCATATAATAAATATGTTATTTTTTGTCTGCAGTCTTTCTGAAAGTTAGGTCTTTTCTTATTAAAAGATGTTTCTTTATAGGTTGTAGGTGGTTAATTCATGTCTAAATTAATTCTGGCCTTATTACAAGGCATGAAACACTCTCATGGCAGAACCATTCATTTCAAATTGCTTGGCACCTTTTGCCGCATGCGTGGTTCATCTTAGAATTAGCAGTCATGGTTGCTGTTTACGAGGAGGGAGGTTGCAGGATTATGAGACTAGTCTTGTCACAGTGCAGTTATTTACAGCGTATCGAATGTAAACTTAGCGATCCAAATGTTTTACCTTATATAACATGGCTTTTACGAAGAACATTCCACTGATGATTGCTTTTTTCATTTTGACAATATCTTTTTTATAGTGGTTTTTCAGACAAATCTGATCTACAGCTCAGTAAGGTAGGTTATTTCACTACACCAAATGTATAGTCAAACTCTGATAACTGTAAACATAAAATGGAAGCACAGTAAGATGGAGTTCATGTTTTCAGCATGTTGATAAATGGGTTAAACAACTGCAAGTTTAGTGACAAGTACTCAAAAGAGTCCTTTCTGTTCTGCTTTTCAAAATAAAAGTTCCTTTTTCTTAAGTTATTTATTTACTTCTTTTGAGAGAGAAAGAGACCGAGAGAGAAGGGGCAGAGAGAGAGAATCCCAAGCGGGCTCTGCACTGGCAGTGCAGAGCCCAGTGTAGGGCTTGATCTCACCAACTGTGAGATCATGACCTGAGCTGCAGTCAAGAGTTGGACACTTAACTGACCGAGCCACCTAGGTGCCCCCAGAATGTTTCTTTTACATGTGTGAGTGTGATATTTTCACTTTCTGCCTTGTGATTCAATAAATCTTTGTTTTCATTTGTTTTCCTTAGCTGATCTCATCTCTTCTGACAAGAAGATCTTTCTTAACTCTGTGTCTCTGTTAAAAAAATTATTCATGCAGGCTTAAAATACCAATTGCCTTTGAATTATTCCTCACAATTACTTTCTATCCATTTAATTTCAAGTTTTGAGGTTCACCTTCTGTACGTTCCTCTTAAATCACCCTCTGCCGCCTTATGTAGCTCCTTTATCCTAGTTTGGGTTCTAATTTCTAATCCCTGGATTATTGCAGTGGCATTTGTGTAATTTTTTTTGCCTCTAGTATTTCTCTTGTCAGTCCGCCATCCTGTTCAGTGCCAGCTCTTTCTCTTTTTTTTTTTTTTTAATTTTTTTAAACTATTATTTATTTTTGAGACAGAGAGAGACAGAGCATGAATGGGGGAGGGTCAGAGAGAGGGAGACACAGAATCTGAAACAGGCTCCAGGCTCTGAGCTGTCAGCACAGAGCCCGACGCGGGGCTTGAACTCACAGACCGAGAGATCATGACCTGAGCTGAAGTCGGCCACTTAACCGACTGAGCCACCCAGGCGCCCCGCTCTTTCTCTTTTTAAAGCACACACTTCAGCTGTGCCCTTCTGTTCAGATGACTTCTCTGGTCCCTGTTGCTTACTGAGTGCAGACTTAGGCGGGCTCTCTAGTCCCTTTAAAAGTCTGTCTTTATTTCCTAGTATTAGTTCCCTAGACATGTCTCCTTTAGCTGAAGCATAATAACTTGAGACTCCCCAAAGTGTTTTCCCTAAGTGCCTATTCTTTTTCTTCCCCTCTTTATGAAAAACCGAACTGAGTCGGGATGCTCTCACACTCTTTTCTGCTCATCAGAGCTTGATTTCTCCTTGCGAGTCTTGCTTCAGAGTCCACCTTCTTTATGAAAACTTGCAAACCCCACATGGGCAGAATCTACACGCCGGTTTCTTTGTACCATTTTTTGATATTTTACTGAGTCTTGCAGTTCTTTTTTCTCTCTGGTGTCTTCTATTAGTGTGTGTCTGTTTAAATCATCTTTGTATCCTGTGTGACCCTTCTGCTTACTTTTGTATCTCTTTTGATATCTTGACTTATCTTTGCGTCTTCTGTAATACCTACACACGCTAGCATGCAATAGACGAGTTTAACAGATATATCTAAACACTGGTAAAAATCATATTGGAAAGGATGACTCAGATAAGCGATCAGAGGAGTAATATATTAAGGGATAAACTTTCTGGAATAATACACATAATTATATACAAGATAGCCAAAGTACATAATAAAATTGAATATAGTTAACAACTAAAATGAATGTTTTGTTTTAATATTTCCAACTTATTAGACTTCTGAGCATCTCTTTTCGGTAAGCAATCATTTAGTGATATTAGTAGTGATTTTCCATAAACCTTAGTCTCTCCCAAAGTTTTTCTGTTGAAGACTTTGAAGCAAACGAGTCTAGAAAAAAAAGAAGCATGTTTGTTCTGTGATTCTGGAATCACTAAGGTTCAGCTTGTTTTGAAACCAGTGAAAAGGTCATTTACCTATGTACAGTGATGGCAGTGCAAATTAAAAAGGAAGGATTCTATGTTTGTATTTAATTTACTTTCAGTCATATTCTTATTTAATACCTAAGTCTTCAAAATTTATAACAGTATGGATGTTTAATCCTTTTATTCAGTTTACATTAAGGCAACAGCTACAGAGTAGAAACAGGTAGAAAATATATGAAAAATACAATTGCGCATGTTGTTTGCCAAGTATACTAATGTACAAGTTTCAATGGTTGTATATAAACTTCTTTTGTATTTAGGAAAAAGTTCAGAAAAAAAGTTATAGGCAACTGAAGACTACTTTTGTTAATGTTACTTCTGAATGCCCACTGTAAGTAATTTTTCATAGATCTTGCGGTTTTCTTCATATACGAAGAATATTTATTATATAATGAAGTTAATATTTCTCTTCATTTTTACAGGAATGATGTTTACAATTTTAACTTGAATGGCGCTGATGAGCCTATTATAAAACTTGGAGTAAGCTAGAAATCAGTATTTTGTATTGGTTATTCAGTATTTATTTTGTATTCACTATATTGTTATTACAGTGTATGTTTTCTGGTTTCCATTCTCTTGTAGATATGTTTTAAAGTATGTTTAAATACTTTAAAGCTTCTTTTGTACCGACTTAGGTATATTTGGTTTCCTTTAAAACCTTTTGGACTGAAGTAGAGAAAAATGAGTAATTAGGACATGGGAGTGGGGACTCACCCTACTACTTCAAGAACATCACTTTGCTTCTTGATACAAGACATTTTAAAACCATCGCTCTTACTTATTTTGTTTTTAATATATTTTATAGTATTAACTTTTTATATATAAAAGTATTTTAGTAAGCTTAATTTAATTGATGCGTCTTACGATAGGAAGTGATAGAAACTAGAATTTATATGTTTATTTTTTAAAACGTATGTTTACCTTATTTTGACACTAAGAAAAAATTTTTAATGTTTATTCACCATCTAGATCCAGGAATTTCAAGCTGCAGCTACAGAAGCCTGTGTGGATAATTCAATGACATTGTAGGTGTTTTTATTATAATCGGATGGATCAGAGTAAAATAAGTTTCTCAGCTGTTCTTTTTCTTCAGTATGTCCTCCCAGTTTGTGTGAGAGGCTCTACCATACTGAGAAGAAGGATGGGGAACGTTGTTGGTGGGACTGCCCCCTGACGTTCCTGACACTTCGGCCTTTACTCCTGAAACTGACATGTGCGTCCTCTGCACTTGTCATGTTAGCTGTGCATGTCCGATGATGAAGCTGGAGGGACTCAGTCCTTCATCCAACCTTGTTATTTTTACAATGAACCGAGGTCAGAGAGGATGAGCGACTTGGCCAGAATTATACAGTGAGCTAGTGAAAAAGCAGGGCTGAAGACCCATGTCTAACTGTTCGGTGCATGTTACCTTAAGGAAAAAGTAATTAAATTAAAATTAATGCATTTTTTTGTTTAAGGTTAGGTTTGAGGAATCATGATGAACTTGAATCTCCTCTCAAAACAAAAGATAAAAAAGTAAGTTACAATATCCTAATGTGTCCGTTAAGAACTTTATTTTAAAAAATAATTTTCTGGGGCACCTGGGTGGCTCAGTCGGTTGAGTGTCCAGCTCTTCGTTTTGGCTCAGGTCGTGATCTCATTGGTTTGAGATCGAGCTCTGCGCGCTGACAGCACAGAGCCTGCTTGGGATTCTCTCTCTACTCCTCCCCCCGTGTATGCACACCCTCTCTCTCAAGATAAATACTTAAACAAAAATTTCCTGTGCCAGAGATGATCACAGATCTAGAAAACAAAAATATTTGGGTTTTTCCCCCTCTATTAGACTGTTCATGTGCCCACTATGACTCTGTTATGGTCTCAGAGCTATTTGTAAGTCATCTACTAACAGAAGATATGATAGCTTTAGTTACTTTCTTTGATGGCATCAGCTCGTGTCTGTGTGGAAGTAAGCTGTTTTAACTTTCAAACAACAACAAAATAGGAATCTCAATCTCTGATCTGGGTTTCTGGGTGATTTGTTTGTCTGGATATGTGTTCTTAATGCCAGGTACATTAGTATGCTAAAAAATTAAATTAGTTTTTCTGTTGCTTGGGTTGTTTCTGTTTTTTTTGTTTTTTAGCCTAACTTTAAAAAAATTTTTTTTACATTTCTTTACTTTTTATTTTTATTTTTTTTAACGTTTATTTATTTTTGAGACATAGAGAGACAGAGCATGAACAGGGGAAGGGCAGAGAGAGAGGGAGACACAGAATCTGAAACGGGCTCCAGGCTCTGAGCTGTCAGCACAGAACCCGACGCGGGGCTTGAACTCATGGATCGTGAGATCATGACCTGAGCCAAAGTCAGACACTTAACCGACTGAGCCACCCAGGCGCCCCTACATTTATTTATTTTTGAAAGACAGACAAGCACAGGTGGGTGAGGGGCAGAGAGAGAAAGAGACACAGAATCCAAAGCAGGCCCCAGGCTCTGAGCTGTCAGCACAGAGCCTAATGCGGGGTTCAAGTCCACGAACTGTGAGATCATGAACTGAGCCAAAGTTGGATGCTTATCCAACTGAGCCACCCAGGCGCCCCTAGCTTAACTTACCTTTAATGGTATATAATGAGACACGTTTCTTCATCTATTATATGGATTCTTTTTTTTTTTTTAATAGATTGTAGCAAATCATAAAAAGAAAAATCTCTTTAGTGATACTGACACAGAATACAGATGTGATGACAGCAAGACCGATGTTAGCTGGCTGAAGGAACCAAAATCAAAACCACAGCTGATAGACTATAGCAGAAATAAAAATGTGAAGAAACAGAAAAGTGGCAAATCAAGTAAGAAATGACTTCAGAGAAATATTGGAAATGATCTTACCATGTCAACTACTTAAAATGCTTTGTTGGCTGACAAGTATATTTGTACGTTGTTAGTGTTGATAACTAGGTAGTCTTATGAATAGAAGAGTAAATACACCACGACACTACAGTGGTTTTGTTTTTTGTTTTATTTTTAGTAATATGGTTGTGTAGAAATTACTTTTTTTTACTGGAATCTTAAAGACAGAAAATATGATTGTCATATTCTTTGGTTCATGCATACTCTTCACCATTTGTCCACTCGTGGCCTGCTGTTATACAATTGTTTAGCAATTGTGGATAGTGTGTTATTAAATACTCATGAACCCAACACTCTAAGCAAAAATCAAATCTTTGACATGCCATTTCCTGTCACAGCTAACACATGTACTTTTTAGGAATGCGTATAAAAACATATTATAAGGAAAACCATTTTCTTGCAGAAATATTTTTGCCTAAATCTTCCACAGAATGTCTTCCCAGCATATGGCTTTTGCTTTGTCTAGTGAATCTCTTAAAGCAGTTGGATAAGAGTTTGAGGTATGGGTTTTTGGCTAGACATATGGACCATTTTCCTAGCTTGTTTACTAAAACACAGAGATTTTATATATTCCATTTTTAAAATAAGACCTTTTAAGTTGATATTTAAGAGAACCAGCCTTTACTTTATGTCAGGATAAATATAACCAATAGTAGCCTCTGTGTATGTGGGGGGTGGGGTGCATGACGGCGTAAACAGAAGTAAAAACAAAAACCTGGAAATGAAGCTTGGCACGTATTGGTGAATGAGGCTGAATCTTGCAAAGAGACGAGGCCTGTCATCTCCGCCAAGACGAGAAGCAGCAGAATCATCTTAATATGAGAGAGAGAGAGAGAGAGAGAGAGAGAGAGAAGTCTGAGACAGCAGCATGTGCTGGTGCGGGGAGTGCAGTGGGGGCGGGGGGCGGGGGGAGCGGCCAGAGCCCAGACAGGACCTGTGAGAAGAGGCTGAAAGATGCACTGCACCTGCTCTGGGCAGCGGCGTGGTATCAGCCAGGAGCTGATAAAAGTCACATGCTCTCAGGGAGTTTATACTCATTTGTAACATCTTGAGACATTCAAGGTTAGAATACTGTAATCAGTACAGAGTTTTAAAATTGGACTTCTGAGTGAATGGTTTTGTTTAAACGGCTGCATGTCTGCAAGTCATATGTAGGGACTGGCTTATCGCCAGGATTGGAAGACCTTTCTCCCAGAACTTCATTGCTTCCTTGGCTTGGATAGTCCCATTTCTTAGGCTTCAGAGAATATTCAGAAAGTTGATTGTGCCTGAAAGGCAAAAAAAGGAATAGGGACTAAAGCTACTCTCAGGAAATATGGATGAATCTTAGAAACAATGAGGGGCGAAAAATAAAGCACACCATAGAATATTACATAGGAGAGGATACGGTTTTATAAAGTTCATTATATTGTTTAGGGATACATATCTGTGAAGTAAAACTTTATTTTTTTAAGACCAAATGAATGAGAAACAATTCAGGATAATGAAAATACTCCCTTTTGGCAGAGGGGATATTGAGCCTCAGAGAGAGTACACATAAATAGATAACATCATTATTCATAATCTAGCTTTTAAATTGATAGATGCATAGGTGTTCACTTTATAACTTACATTCCCTATTCTCACGCATGTTGAAGAAGTTTCATAGTGTAAAGGAGAAAAGAAATTGGTCATTTATATCCTACCAAACACTACAAAGTTATCGATGTCAGTTTAGCCTCAAATCATCTCAAAATTCAAATTTTTGAATGAATTTAAATATGTATTCTTGTTATGATTTTAACTTCTATGCAGAAATATTCTAATAAATTTTAATACCAGTTCTAATCTATTTGAAAAATGTAACTTTATTTTCTTGCATTGCAGGACCATCGTTGGAAAGGGGACAACCAAGATCTAAAATGGTAAAACCAAGAAGTTGGTGTTCAAACATCCCTTGAAAATTATTTTTCTCCTAGCATGTAAAAAACCTCATTTTTCATGTTATAATTTTATCCTTGTTGTTACTTGTTTCTCCATAATTGTTCTAGCCTTTGCATGCATACTCTTACTTTCTGCCTTTTTGAATCATGTTGGCCTGTTTTAGGTCTGTTTTATTTTGTGATTATAATACCTATAGCTGTTTCTCTTTTTTCCTCTCTTTCTCTTTTTTATGTAAGTTAGGTAATATATATAACAGACCCCGCAGAGCTTTAGTGATAGGAATAAAAAAGGTGATGGGGAAGTTATTTGGACGGAAGGATAAAATCCAGTATTTTTAAAATATTAATCAGGAATTTTATAAAATACAAATATTTTATGTATTTTCACAAGGCCAAGTTTAGAGCAAATAGCTCGTATTTCTTACATCTCACATATTGACCTACTAATTCAAAAATTTTTCTCCTAAAGACACCCAACAAAAACACCACCAAAAAGGTAGAGGAGACCGTTCCATATGGGAGAACCAGACTTCCACGAAGAGCGGCAAAAACCAAAAAAAATTACAAAGATCTCTCAAATTCAGAATCAGAGAGTGAACAAGAATTTTCACATTCATTTAAAGAGAAATTGCTAGAAAAGGTAAGTAAATAGATATAATTCAGATTAAAAATTTCTAAAAAGCCTGTTAAAATACTAAATAGAGAATATATTTTTACAAAAATGTCGAACTTGTCACATTTTTAGATTGAACCTTCTATATGAGAAATGTTATATGCTAAAAATTGATCTTTAGGCAATATGTTAAAATGTGTGATAAGTTGGCATTAGTGTTACAAAACAGATGTTTGACTCTAGTAAAATTAGAACTTTAAGATAACATTTTTGAATTAGAAAAGGGCTTGAATTTTTCCAAATTATACTTCAAAAAAGTGCAGACTGTTGGAAAGCTGTGACTCTTTCTCTTGAATGGAAGCAAAAATACTAGATCTGAGGTTCTTCCCACACACTGCCCACCTGTGTCTATCCTTGACTTCTTTCTGTCTCTTAATGTTACAGACATATCCCCAGCCATCTGTGCTTGAAAGCTTTTTTAACAAAGTGATAAAAGAAAAAAAGAAAGAAAAATAGTGCTTACAGTTTGCCAGGTGCTATTCTAAGTACTTTATAGATTTAACTTCTTAAAATCTCGTAAGTACCATAGGTGACTAGTACTATTATTGACATCTCATTTTACAAATGAGAAATTGAGGCTCAGAGAGATGAAGGAACTTGCCCAAGGTCACACAGCTAGGAGGTGGTAAAACAAAGGTTTGAACCCAAAGAGTCTGGCACTAAAGGTAGGTCTGACCATCACACTGTTCTGACTGACTGCACATAATTAAAGTTGTACCTCCCTTTGTTTGTAACCTTGTTATTCTTTACTTGGAAGGCTTTAAGGACTTCATAACTTACGTCTGCATTTTCTATCACTTCTTTAATTTACTCTCCATATAGTCAGAGGAGTCTTCCCAAGCTCCCTGTCATCATCTCCCTCTTCAAAGAAAAACGCTGACAGTCTCTCTGTGGTCAGTGCAGCAGACCTTTGCAAGCTCATTCCCCCTGCTCTCCGGTGCATGCCCAGAGCTGAAACAGCCACATGGGCTAACCTGGGACTCCCACACGAGACTGTGCAGCTCCAGTCCCTGCACCCTGTCGGGGGGGTCTCCCCTCACCATCTTCTCTATACCTCCCGAGCACGTCAAGTACCATGAAATCCAGGAACTGTTTCTAGTTTCCCTAAACTGGATATAACCTCCTTACAGTGCTTTATTTGCATTTCTTAGGATATTATAGTCCATGTATATTTTCCTATGACTTTGTCATATGCCTTCTACACGCAGAAAGTCCTTCAGCACCCATGTTGAAGCCCCTGTTGTGCTCGTGTGTAGTAATAGAAGATATTTAATATTTCAGCATAATTTGTTTTATGTGTCCAAGTATAAATTTCTTGTATTCAAGTATAATTTAAAACTTATCAATACAATTAGGAGGAAAATATCCATTCCAGAAGCAAAACCATAAAGCTGCCAAAGAAACAGAAGAAAGCCTTCTCTGCCGAATCACAGAAGGATATATCAAAAGAATGGAAAAATTCATCTCTACTAAAAGATGCTGTAAGAGATAATAGCCTTGGCTTATCTCCTGTATCTTTATCTGGGAGCCCATCATCTATAGAAGTCATGAGATGTGAGTATCATTTTTTTCTTTTAAATATTCAACAAGTTTCTATTATAACTCTGTGAAAACAGAGTTTGAAGATTAATCGTAAATATGTGCCTCAAAATTATAGGTAGTCAAAACTTCATTTTGTGAACTAGTTAGTGCTAGTAACTTAGTCTTTGCTAAGTAGACGTGGGAACGGTGTCACTACGACACTCAAGTTTTTCACGGGAGGACGTTAAAGACCAAATGGTTCAATATGGAAAATATTTAATGCATATTTATAAATTGTAATGTGAAAGCTTAAATCAACTTTTAGGTTTTTAATCCCCAGATATATTTAATGTGAAAATAATGATGGGGATTTCTACTTTTTCTCTTTTACATTTCATTGACAAAAAAGTCTGCAAGGAATATCCTAGTCATTCTGTGGACCCATAGTGGATTATTTTTGAGGTCTGCATTTATTGAAAGATAACCCACAAAGAAAAATTCATATTCTTTGGAGCTCTGGTACACACACACACACACACACACACACTTTTCTAATATAGTAACTATAAGTTTGCACTTTTTTTGTTTTTTTTAAGGATATTTTAAAGCATTTCCAAGTATCCATAAGTTAATATATACTTCCTCCAAAGTAGCTATTTTGTTCTTTACTAGAATATTTTCTCAGCGCCCAGGACCACTGACATCTCAGATAACCGCATACTGTAACAGACGCACATGCCCTGATTTTATCTGAAAACTAAGAGTCCATTTATACTAAGACTTATTTCAGCCATGAATTTCCTCACCTATATATGAAGGATTTAGATAAGATGATTTCCCAAGCCATCTCCAACCAGAAAATTCCGTGACTTTATAACAGTTCTGGCTATGATGTCAAAATACTCAAGATAATGCTTAGGTTGACCATTACAGTGCAGCTCATACTATAGATATTTTTGTCTGAGCTTTTGAAAGTTCTTATAGTTACATCTTAAATGGAGCCATTAATATTTCTCTAAGCCTTACAAATCAAATGATTTTAATATAAATTAAAGTTGATTTATTAGAAGTTTATCTTTTTAAATACAAAGAAGATGAGGATTTGATAAATCATTATAGTCTTAGAGTTTCATCTTACTATTTCCAAAGCAGACATCAATGAGAATACCTGTCATCTGTGTTTTGTGAGGCAATACAGGTACAGAGAAAATAACAGAGAAGGATTTTACTCAGGATTATGACTGTGTAACAAAATCCATATCACCTTATCTGAAAACTTCATCACCTGAATCTTTAAACAGTAAATATAGAGTCGGAGGTCCAATAAAGTCACCTAAAAACAGTGACAAAAATGTATGTGCACGAGAACATTGCTCACCAATTCCACGATCCTTCTTCTTGGTAAGAATATACGCTATTTTCCTCCTTTATCAGATCTGTCTGAAGTGGGGAAATCATTTCCCTCTAATTTTAATCAAGTACACATTGCTTGTCCACCTAACTTAGGGTTCTGGGTTTGGTCTGTGGGACAAGAATAACGTACTGGTAAGTAGAACGGCCTCTGTGAGATTGACAGACTAATTAGCTGTCCAGGAGGAAGGGTGTGGTGGCGTGAGAAGTAGCGAGTGTGTCTCTTCTCCAGGAATGATCACTTCGACAGAGGCACTGCTCACTCGTCTGTGCATCAAAACCACGTAGTTCATGAATGAATGCATATTAAGATGAACAGGGTTAGTGATACAGTGGAAAATTCTTCATTCTTCTCTTGTGTATTGTTACGTGTACCATTTCTTCCTAACGTGTAGGTATGTTCAAAGTGTTGTAAAAAGACATTAAAGATAGGAATCGATTATGGTCAAAGTGAGGTTAAAGTACTATGCCTACAGAGAAGAGTTTTAAGTTGTGGATACTTCGGTACCAGTTTAAAACCCACCCCACTGCCATCCCATTTTGACTTGGGTTGTATAGATGGCTTAATTTGGAGAATTTTATAGTTCTCTGTAGGTCTCTCTATAAAGTTATAGAACTGATTGCCAAGATAGTATAACTGGGTATAGCTGAAAGAGTTCTGAGTGAGACAGAACTGCATTTAAATACTTGCTAGCTGTGTAACATTTTACAGGCTAATGAAGCCCGCTGCACCTCAGTTTTCTCATCTGTACAGTAGGGTTGTGAAAAATTAGTCTGATTGTACAAGCGGAATACCTGATACGTAGTAAGTACCCAGATACATTATTCTCTTGATATGTGTTGACCTCCATATACGGACATGGAATTAATGAATGAGAGTTCGGTGTACCCACAGCCCAGATAGGAGACCTCTGATAAAACCAAACTTCTGTCCTATCACTTTGAACCGAATATTTGTATTTCTGCAGGATTTTAAGGTCCTTTTGTTCTGTTTAGTAGTTTTCACAGAGCATATTTTTCTAACCGAATCTCTTATGAAACCTCCAGTGTGCCAAACAAATAACAGTGGAGCTACACCATGTAAAGCAGACAGGTCTAAGCCCCCCTCCTGGGTAACTCCCAAAGCACCTTTGCAAGGCTCTCAGTTGCAGAACACCAGTCTTCCACCAGGTCACCATCCCACGGTCCTTTGCTGTACCATCCTTCGTGTCCCTGAATCCTTTAGTCCCTCCAGTGTCCCTCCCGTCTTGCAAATCTCAAAACGTAGGGGATTCCCTGCCCACTTTGCTTTCAGGCTACGCTGTGCTAATCAGAATTTTAATTGTTACATATTTATTGGCCATTTGTTTCCCGTTTACTGTTGACTCTGAGATATTAGAAATTTGCTATATAAATTAGTTCTGTCAGCTTATACTCTCCGACACTCTCTGTGATAGTGGCAGTTTTCTCTACAGTTTTAACTGTTACCAGATGTTCTGTTTGTGATCACCAATCTGACGTGTAGTGTATAACTTTGATTTGCATTTTACCGATTAAAAACATCAGTGAGTACTTCATGGTTTTTGGCCATTTTGTGAATTGCCTTTTTTTGCTAATTTTTAATTGTTTGACTTTTTTTTCAATAAACTTGTAGTTCTTAAAATAGTCTAGATATTCTAAATTGCTTATGTATGTGCAGTGCAAACATTCTTTTTCCAGTAGCTATAATTTCACTTAAATGAAAAATTTCCGTATGACAAAACTTGTTATAATGGAATTTACCAGAGTCTTTCTGTGATCAAGAAATCCCTCAGCTATGGTCATATTTTCCTTTCTTGTAAAAATGTTAGTTTTAACTTCTAGGTTTTCAGTCTTTCTCGGGCATTAGTGCAGCATCATACATGAAGTGCCCTCCTTTGTCCATCGTTCCTAATGCTAATCTGGGCACAGCCTAGGCAACCTGGAGGGCCAACTGCTGGGCAGTGTTCCCTGTGACTAGCCAGTCTGTCTCTGTGCTAATGCCCCATTGCTGTCGTTGGTATAGACTTTAACACTTGCAGGCTGTTTCACCAACCCCACCCCTCTCATTCTTTTACTTAAAATCTTCATGGCCCTTGAATCATCCATGTAAATTTTGGAATTACTTTGTTTGAGGGAAGAATGCCATTTCCTAGTATTGATACTGGGTGCTTTCTCACCCATATATTTTTCTTTCTACATTTTGGTGTTATTGCCAAAAAATGATGCCAAATCTTCCACAAAGAAAATTAATTCCTGTATCTTATGGATTTTCTTTTTGCTGTACTAAAAAAAAAAACCTTAAAATTTTTTTCTGGGTTTTTAATGTTTTTGCTTTGTATAGAAACACTATGGATTTTTATATCTCCACCTACCTTCACTAATTTTGTCATAATTCCCTGCCTAGGTTCTCTTAGATTCTGGATATAGACAGTTACTCATGATAACTTGTGCATTTCCCATTCCTGTCCTTATACTTAAGTTTTTTATTGTTAAGGTGACTGTGACCTCTGGGGAAATGTTAAATAAATGCCATACTAGCAGACACACTTACCCATCGTTTTTGGTAGATACTTATCAAATTAATGTTGTAGTTGTCCAAGGACTTTTTCCCTTTTTGTTATAAATGGGTGTCGAGTTTTAGCAGCAAATGAATTATTCCCTGGAAACGTAAGTAGTTTTGGTTGAATATTGTTGTGGTTTTGTTTTGGGCTTTAAATAATTTTCTAATTTCCTTTGGGTTTCTGTAGGTCTTGCTCATTCATAGCCCAGGCATACTCCAATTTATAATACTGTTGTGCATAGAAAAAATAATAAGTTCCGTGGTGCTTACATAAGAAACACATAATTTTCCACCAGCTATTCAGATGGAAACACAGTTTGGGGAAAAAACAGTATATCAAAGTTGAACTTGCACGTAACAAAGAAGATCACATACAGGAGCAATAGAGGTTTGAAGGACACTATAGCCATCAGACTTAAACTAAGATGGTTCTTATAAGAATCAAAGTACTGGCCCTAAATAATCAATATATTTTAATATTTTTCAACGGTTATTACTTGAAAATCTGATGTTTAAAGTATGCAGATCATGGAAAAAAGTTGAAATTTTTGAAATGAGAAGTTGTAAGTTCTCAAATAGTGAAGATATAGTTGCCGAGCCACTGACATGTATTTGTAATGGGGACTTTCTGGTTCCACGATTATTTAGGAATCGGTTGAACTTCGTGCCACTACTGCAGTCCATAGCCCATCAACAAAAATATTTTTAATAATCTGTAAGACACAGAATGGTAAATGCAAAATTTTACAGCTTGGCGGAGGAGGGCTGGGAAGGGACCTAAACAAAAGTATCTGAAAAAAGAATGGACGTTTGCAAATTGACTTGCTTTAGGGTTTGAGAAGGATGATCAAAGGTGAAGCCAAGAGGACTTACAGAATTTTTCCCCCCAATTTCTAATACCTGTTTTAGGGAAATCATTCCGCATCTCCACTATCTATGTCTAGTGAAGGAAGAGAGCAAATACGGTGCGACATTCCTTGTGACTCTACTCATGTATCAGGTTTGTAGTCACAGCATTGCTTTAAAAACAATATTGTTGAACTACTATGCAATTTCACTTTCTAAAGGAATTACATTTTAAGTCATACCATTTATTCAATATAGCTAATGTCAAATTGAAAATAAGCTGGAGAGAATTGAATGTACAGCTGCCTAAAACAATGCAAATAAATAACTGAAAGGCTTTTTTAATAAAAGCAAGAAAATTATTAGGTTCTTTTTGATCAAGATTGTAGCACTATTGTTTTTTAACTGTTCCTAAGGCCCCACACAGCATTTTAGTCGCAAACGAATGTACATAGAAGAAGATAATCTAAGTAATGCTGATGTAGTAGAAGAGGAGGAGGAAGGGAGAGTATACTTGCTTCCCAAAAAACTATCCAGAACTGAAGACACAGATGATCACACTTATAAAGGTAGGTAGATCAAATGCCTGTGTCAAAATGCAATTAATTGTGGAAGATGGTTTTTGAGATCTTAAATGATACACACACACAATCCCCTTTGTAAAGAGAACTTTGGATGAGTCTCCTAAGGATGATGCTCTATCACCTATCACCAAGTTCACTTTATGTGAATAATATAGTTAGTAAGGGTCTTTGTGCCCTAAATCTTTATAATTCTATTGCTGATTACCACGTTTTACTAGAATGTAAATTTACAGATATATTGGTATGTCACTAAATATTTGGTTATTAACATGGAAATAGTTAAAAAAAATAACCATTCCAAAAAACATTCCATTTCACTGTTAACATTTTTGCCTCAATACCCATGCCAAGAGAATTTTTTAGAAATGAAAATATTTTTAACTACCTTTTATGTCATATTATTAGATCACACATAGAATCTGAAAATAAGATTTTTGTCCTCAGCCTCATGACAAGTAAGGCTAAATTTGTAATAATGCATATCTTCAGCTGATTGTCTCCATTTTTTAGTATCTGAAAGTATATCTCCGTTATCAACAAATGACTTGTCTCTTCCTGCGGAGAGCTGGGAAAGTGAAATTTCAGGTGTGGGGATGATGTGTGAGAAGCTCAATACGGAATTTAGGAGGAAATTTCATGTAAGTTACCATTCTTTAAATGACAATTTTATACCCAATGAAATAATATGCCACCTGTCTACTAGACTAGCAGCTCGTTTGATCCTTTGGCAACAACACACCCGTTTAGGAACTCGCTTTTCCTCACGGACTGGTGAGAATCGGAGTGATTTGTCTTCTAAGCCTGGTTTCTCTTCTCAACTCTGTGCATTTTCCATAGTCTTTCTTTTCCTAGATTCTTTATTTTCCTTTTCAGTTTACCATTTTGACCCTTCCGTGCTTTTTCTTTTGGTCTGAACAATTTTCTTTCCGTGCCTCATGTTTTCATTGCGCGGAGATGACAGCTAGCAAGGTTGCTGCAGTCGAGGAGGAAGCCAGAGGAATCCTCTCGCACTGCTTTACCAGGTCACTGCTCGTGGAGCCTTAGCCACTGAGGCTCCAGTGAGATGATGTTTGCAAAAATACTTTTTAAAACAATTAACTCTTGTTTTCTCCACCTACCTCTTTATCTCACATGCCTGTGCTGGGAATACTTGTCTTCGCCTCCTGTTAACCCGTGTGGAAAAACACCTTTTATCGTCAGCCCCTCTCTTGTCTTTTTCCTCCGTCTGAAATAAGATTCTGTATATTTTAATTATCAAAGCACAACCTATAAACAGAGAAGCCGCCCTGATTTATGTGTATCTGTTCTGTTCTGCATCTGGCTAGATCAAGCAAATATATGTTTTTGTGGAAGACAGTCATTCTGAGTGTGAATTTGGGCTTTGTTCCTGAAGAGAATTATAATACTAGCATTTTTATAAATAGAGTGTGGTGTCCTTATGGAAACAATGATCAATTCAATCCTTAGAATTTTCTTGGTGGAACCAGACACTGCCCTGACTGAGCTTTTTTTATTAACACTTCAGTTTAAATCACCAAGTTTTTCATTTTTCACTTCTGAGTTTTTCTTAGTCATTTGCATGGTAAAGGCTTTGTTATTAACAGTCTTGGTTAAATTATTATTTTGTGAAGAGTTTTCAAGTTAAAAATGTGTTTTTCAGATCCGCCAAAAAATGATGGATTATTTTGCAAAGCAGTCTTGGAAAACAGCTCAACAACATCTGACCAACATGAACCATCAGATTCAGGAGTACAGGTCTGTACTAAAAGCCTTTTTTGCAGTCTTGTGAATGCTATAGTTTAAAATTTTTTTTCATTTTGTTTCCTTAATAGGATCAAAAAACTCGATAAATTCCAATTCATCATCATAGAGGAGCTGGAGAATTTTGAAAAAGATTCACAGTCTTTAAAAGATTTGGAGAAGGAATTTGTGGTTTGTGCTTTTAAGAATTTTTTTAAAGAGCCACACTCAGGAAAACTTCTGTTAATTTTGTTCTTTAGAAAATTGTTTTAGGGGTGCCTGGGTGGCTCAGTCAGTGAAGCGTCTGACTTTGGCTCAGGTCATGATCTCATGGAGCATGAGTTTGGGCCCCGCACCGGGCTCTGTGCAGGCCTGCTTCGGATTCTGTGTCTCCCATTCACACTCTCTCTCTCTCTCAAAAAATAAACATTAAACATTAAAAACAATAGTTTTAGGTTTCATATACACACACTTACAGACTGAAGCTTATGATGAGTACCTTTGATAATATGGGGAAAACCCTGAGACAGTGTATGACGTCTAGAATATGCTCAGCATCTAGCCAAGTTTCTTTAAACTAGGAATAGGAACATAGGAATTCTGCAAGTTTTATTTTTTGTATTTTTAAATGTAGGAATTGGGAGAGAAGATATTTCAGAAGTACAGTGCCTATCAAAAAAGTGAGCTGCAGAGGTTGGTGTGGCATTCTTAATGACTATGACCTATATACACTTTCAATTTTTAAATATAAATGTAATTGCAATATTCTAGCAATTCAAAAGTGACTTCCTCTGCTAGGCTTCACCACTTGAAAGCGTCACTGGACAAAAATGTCTTCTACAACACTGATTACGAAGACGCTATTTTTACATCTGAGGTACAAGCTTTTTTACACTCCTATAATCGATACAGTTTCGCTGTGAAAATCTGACGGTAAACGTCATGGATGCAATACTGCTTTACAGATGTGCTCAATGAAGGAGGACATGAAGGTGCTGCAGGAACAGCTTCTGAAGGACACGGTGGGTCGGCTGCCCCCTGGGGTTCACGTGCTTCCGTCTCTTGTAGCGGCGACTTCTTCCACAGCCTTTTCTCCTGTGGGGATGGAGAGAGGCTTTCAGCCCAGTGGGTTTAGTTCTTTAAACTGGAATAATGGGAGCAAGTCTAGAGTACGATATTAATAGAGGTGATTTAAATGAGTCCCTCCTAAGGGAGTATCAGTTCGGAAATGTTTACATGAGCTAAAAGAGTAACTTCTTTGTTCTGTACCCAAGCACTGTACCCGGCAGCAGGCCTGTGCCTTCTGAAGAAGGTGTGCCAGGACAGAGCTACCAGAATGGCTGTCTGCTTGGACAGCAGGACTCCATTAACTTAGATTGGAGGATGAAAGTAGTGGACTTTGATCCAAAGGTCTAGTAGCCCAGCAGCTGCATTCTGGGGGCAAAGACCCTTGGCGGGGAGGGGAGGGGTCCAAAGGCACTGCTCTCAATGATGGCAGACATTTTCCATGTAGACTCGAAGACTTCCTGTACACAGAGCACTAGTGTACTTGCTCCCTTAATAGAACCTCAGCAGACTGTTGTGGCAAAGACGGTTTGGAGGGGAGCAGTCTAGAAAGAAATGTCAACAGCAATTTGGGCTTTAAAAGACCAGATCTCTACACTGAGCGCCTAGAATATCCGTGTTGAGCCCTGAACTCCGGAGACACCTAGGAATAGATCCTGGGGGGCTAGATAGAATGAGCGCTGATACAAAATACCTTTAGGTGTTTTAATTTTAACAAAATTAAAAGAATCCCTAATAACAGCTAGCTTTTTTCTTTCCGTTTGATGGTTTTATAGTGATCATTTAAAATCTAAGTGTGATTTTCACCCCCCTCCCTCCTCCCCCCCCCCCCCCCGGCTATAGCAAGAAGAGGAGCTTCTCAACGTACGCAGAGGACTGATGTCATTATTCATGGCTCATGAAAGAAACGTTCATGTGTGATGTCTGGGTGTTAGCAATTAGTTGTAGCCACTTACCCCTTTTTGTGTATACCAGGAAATCCCACAGTAGCTCTACCGAGAGAAAAACAGACGTCACCCAGGCAAGAGTACTTTTGTAGGAGCCTCCAAATCCAAAGAAATTGTTGTCTTATGGATGAGAAAGAACCACTATAACATGACTCCAGCCTCAAAAGACCTTTGTCTGAATAGTACTGTTCTTTTTTTAGGGAAAAATTTTGGGAAAACCAAATAGTGAAAGGAATTTTGCTTGTTTCTGTAGGACTATTTATGTTGGACAGACCAATCTTACTGAGTTAAACTAAAACTTACCATATAAAATGTACTTTTAAATGAATACAGTTTGGACTAAATATAAGGTGTTACTAGTTCGGAGTGTACTACATGCAATAAAAACTTGGCCCTGCTGAGAAGGGGGAGAAGCCTCTGATTTCAGATGCTTACCGGAGTGAGAGTCTGGCCCACTGCTGGAGAGTGTATTTATTCAGTTATGGCACCTGTGTTAGAAGGCATTAAACAGCCTATAAGAGTTCCTGTATTTTCTAAATATTTTAATTCCAGGTAGATACCTTAACTCCTAAGCATGCTCTTTTGACAAGTACTTTTTAAGCTCCTACTATTCACTATAATATTTTGCTAGAATACAAAAATACACTTAATATATTAAAGTTGAAATAAATGCTGTGCCACTTGGATAAGGATCATAAATAAAATGTTGTGAATCATTTCCCCATTTTACGAACATCGGATCAAACAAAACATCCTCGTACAATCAGACATCTGAAGTATGAAATTAAGCAGCCTCACTCACTATTTTAATGGTAGCAGAGAATTTTACTACTACCAGCATTGAAGTAGCATGATAGAAGTGGCTTTTCTCAGTCTGGACAAGCAGAGGAAAACCCTTTCCATCTTAGCTTTATTCCATTACTGATAGGGTAGCGGCATTTTATGGCACGAGACAGCGACAGCTGTCTAACAGTAAATAATACTCGGAGGAGTTGCAACTCCGTGTTTCCCTGCGAGACATGAGAGCTGCTCGCATGACGACCCACCTCCCCGCGCACCTCCTCTGCGGCCACACTCACCGTACGTGTACGCCAGCCCGAGTGTGAGCTGTGACCTGGCCAGTGCCAGTAGTTGCTCCCCCTCTCAATCTCCGTCTCCAGCCTTCTTATCGCGCTGACCTTTGTCGCGTCTCTCCAGCTTGCTGTCTAGAGTAGCCCTGGGCTGTTCACGCCACCACTGCTCCGCTAAGCCTGTTCCCTTTCTTGTCTGTCTTTCCTTCCTTACCTATTCTCGGCTCTTCAGTCGAAAAGAACTCTCTCCTCTCACTGCATCCGCTAATTCACACCCCTCATTCCACAACCTGAACGTCACTGGAGCCAAGTCATATAATCAAGCTTAAACTTAGGACGGCAGATTTCAAATGGCTGCTTGGCAATCCTCACTTGCCCCTTTTAATTGGCTTTGCCTCTTTTCCGGAGTATCATTGCATCTCAGTACCTCTGTCCTTAGTTCTTCCCCCTGTAGCTGAGGGCCTCACTTCCCACTTGCCCGTCCTTTCTCCCTGAATCCTGACAGGTTACCTGTCAATACCGGCATTTCCCAATTTCCCACATGTTCCAGTGGCACATGTGCCTCTTCATTTAAGGACCGTCCCCACCAGTGCTCTGCATCTGACCGTCTCTGGCATCTCGCTGCAGGGTGTGTGGCCCACACTTACTAACACACACACGAAACAAAACAAGGCCTTTAGCACCAAGCTCCCCTCTGACTGCTGCCCGTCCCGTGTAATTCTCTACTCACCTCCACACAGAGCATAGGGAAAGAATTTTCCCCAGTTGCTATCTCAGCTTGTACACTTCTTGCGTGCGCCTCACCTTCCCTCAGCCCAGCTGCTTTATTTACTATTTCCCCGAAACGACTTTTTATCAAAATCATCAGTGATTGATTTTACCAAGTTTAATCTTCTTCTTAACTCAGCTTCTCCGTGCTTTGTCACCCAGACTTGGCCTGGCATAGTTTCCATTCCTTGTCTCGCTCCTGGCTTCCCCTTTACCTCTGGATGTGGGGCTCATTCCTCAATCTGTACTTCCTCCTTAGGTAACTGCATCTGGTTCCACGTAATCACCATCTCTGTGTTGATGACTTCCAGATGTATCCAGGTTCTGACCCTTGCTGTGGACATCAGCATCTCATACACACTCGTTATTGACAGTTCTAACAAGCATCTCAGGTCTCAAAACAACCCTTGATTTCTCTCCCTTGGCATTCCTTCTCAACACCAAAGGAAAAATAAACATCGTCTCTCCAACTCAGTGAATGTCGCTTTTAGCCACCCGACTATGCAAGCCAAAACCTAGAAGGAATTTCTGATTTCTCTTTTTCCCTTAACTGCAACTAAGTGGCCGCTTAGTTGATCAAATCCTGTGGATTTTACTGCCCAAGTATGTTCCAAATGTGTAATTTCTGTCACTTGCACTGTCACTACTATTGACAGTGTCACTATTTCTCACAGACTACCATACCAGCCTCCTGAATGGCTCTCCAGCACTCACACTTGCTCCCACAACACTTTATTTACTTTGCAGTCAATACATTCTTGCTAAGTCATAAATCCTAGCGTGCCACTTCCTTACTTGAGACTCCAGTGACTGCATCCTCTTAACTAATGGGTCAAAGAATAAATCAAAGGGAGATGAGAATATACTTTGGGACAAACAGAAATGCAGCATCATGGAACTTCTATGACACAGTGAAATCACTGAGAGGGAAGTTTACAGCTGCAAATTTATAGAAGTTAAAGAACTCCAATCAGTAACCCAACTTTAAAAAACTAGGAGAAAGAGTGACACCCAAAGCTGTTAGAAGGAAGGAAATAATAAAATACTGGGGATTTAAGAAAAAAACACAGAATAGAAAAGCAACAGAAAATCAAAACCAAAAGTTGGTAAACCATTATTAGACTGAGATACACAGAAGACTAAAATTTCTAAAATCAGGAATGAAAATTTGGGACATTACCACTGACCTTAAAGAAACAGGATCATGAGAATACTATAAAGAGTCATATGGCAACAAATTAGATAATTCATGTGAAAGTGGTGAATTCCTAGAAACACAAACTACCAAAACTTACTTCAGGAGAAACAAAATCTGAACAGTCCTATAACACGTGAAGAGATTGAATCCGTAATCAACAAAGAATTCTACCATGTATTTAAATAAGAATTAACACCAGAAGATAGAAGAGAGAACGTTCCTAACTCACTCTATGAGACCAGCATTCCCTTGCTCCCAAAATCAAAGACATCACAAGAAAACTACAGACCAGTATACTTTATGAACGCAAGGTAAAAATCCTCCACAAAATAACAGCAAGCTGGATTCAGCAGCACATTAAAAGGAATGCATTTAATGAAGGAGGTGAAAGATTTGCACATGGAAACCATGAGATGTCAGTAGAAATTAAAGATCTGAGTGGAAAGACATCTTGTGGTCGAGTGGAAAACTTAATATTGTCAAGATGGCAGTCCTCTGAAGTAATTTACAGATTAAATGCAATCCCTGTCAAAATCCCAATTGCCTTTTTGCAGAAATAAAAAAGCTGATCCTAAAAATCAAATGGAAACGGAAGGGGCCCCACAAAGCAAAACAACCTCAAAAAAATAATACAGTTGGAATACTCACACTTTGTAATGTTAACACTTAACTACAAAGCTACATCAATCAAAATAGTGTAGTGACTCAATAGGGAAAGATACCTAGGCCAGTGGAATAGAGACGGTGGTCCAGAGGTAAGCCTGCTCGCCTGTGGCCAACCGAGTTTCCTCGAGAGTGCTAAGCCATTTGGTGGGGAAACGAACAATCTTTAACACATAGCTCAGGACAGCTGGCTAGCCCCATGCCAAGCAGTGAGGTTGTGCCCTGACCTTACACACACATAAAAGATAAACTGATCCAAAATTCTTAGGAAAGTACAAATTCTTAGGAAAAAACAGGAGTAAGTCTTCATGACCTTGGATTTAGCAGTGGAGTCTTAGATAAGACACCAAAAGCACCAGCAACATAAAACAAATGGGACTTAAAAAAAATGAAAACCTTTGTGCAAAAGTACTTTAATAAGAGTGAGAAGACAGCCTACAGAATGGGAGAAAATGCTTGCACATACCTGATTAGGATCTAATATTGAGACTACATAAAGAATTCTTACAACTAAGCAACAGAATAACAAATGACCCAATTAAAACATGGGCGAAGGACTTGCGTGACCATTTCTCCAGGGAAGATGTACACCTGGCCAACCAGCACACGGACATGCACAGGATATCATCAGTCGTTAGGAAATTGCAAGTCAAAACCATAACGAGATGGCACTTCACACCCACCAGAATGGCTAGAGTCAAGGAACAGAAAACACGTGTTGGCAAGCTTGTGCAAGAATTGGAACCCTTGTGTTTCTGGGGAAGTAAACTGCTACCAGCCTCTGTGAAAACCAGTTTGGTGGTTCCTCAAGAGTTAAATGTGGAATTATCCCATGATTCAGCAATCTCACCCTGTGGTATCTACCGTAAGAATTGAAGACATATTTAACAAATACATAAGAATGTGTACCAGTCACAAGGGCCAATGTGGACATGACCCAAGTGGGCATTAAATGAATAAACATATGTAGTGTATCTACACATGGACTATTTACTCAGCCACAAAAGGAAGAAATACTGATTCGTGTTACAGTGTAGACGAGCTTCAAGAACATTATGCTAAGTGAAAAAATAAACATGAGGTTACACCATAGAACTGGACTATTATGCAATCTCCAGAATATGTAAATCCACGGAGACAAAGCAGATGAGTGGCTGCCAGGGGCTGGGGGAGGGGGAAGCTGAGGAGAACCTGCTTCAAGGGTACAGAGCCTCTTCGTGATGGAAATGTTTTGGAACTAGATAGAAGCGGCGGTTGTATGGGCTTGTGAGTGTATTAAATGCCACCAAAGTGCACTCAACATGGTTAGCTTTAGGTCGTCTGAATTTCACCTCACTTTACTTAAAAATGAAAAACCACCACCCACAAAACCTCTCCAGAGGTGTCCTTTGCACTTTACAACCCACCTTTATAGCGGGACCTAAAGTCCCCACGTGAGCTGGCCTCTGTCCCTTTCCTCACCCTTATTTCTTACTCCTCTCGTTCAGACTTCAAGCAACGTGCCTTGAACAATCACATTCCTACCTTAGAGTCTTTGTTCCTGGGAACTTGCTGTCCTTCAGGTCCCATGTAAGTGAGACCTCTTCAGAGAGATCTTCCCTCACAATCCTGTTAATGTTAATATCACTCCAGAAATTTCTTTCTTCTTCCCTTCCATAACCCCACTCCTATAAATCCTACAAGAACAGGAAGCCTGTCTTATTCACTTGTGAACAGTAACTTACACCACTATTTCCAGAACCTAAAAAGTGCCCTAAAAAGCCAGCTTGCAACAACGTGAACAAGTAAGTGAACAAATGTAGCATTTCTAGATAGGACTTTACTGAAACCAGAGAGGGCCAATGTACCTAAAACTCAGACCCTCAAATTTTATGGAGTTGCAGCATTCCCATTAAAATTGATAACAAAATATTAGCCAATCAGCCACTTGAGCCTCTGTTAGAGGACACATACTGTGCTCCACTCTAGACACAGATGAGTGAGAGATCAACCCTTTCCTTTTACTTAAAAATGAAATTCAA